ATAGGAAACCCTTTCTTTCTTACTATTCTTAAAGACTCTGGCTTTTTCAGCTTTTAGTCTTTCGACCTGTCGAACCCTGTCGGCTAATTGAGCCATATCCCTCAAATACTGAGTATCTAATTTCTTTCGAATAGAATAATCCAAACCCCCAGCGGCCATTTCGACTAACTCATGTTCAGGCACTACTGTGTAACATCTGGATTTTAACAGCCTAAATCTATTCAAATAATCATCTATGGGTTCAGTGAATTTTCTCTTAACACTGGCCAATTCCTTCAAACTTATTTTCGATTGTCCCATGTAAAATTGTTCATGGAATAATCTCTCTAAAAGGGGCCAAGTGTCAATAGATCCGGGAGGCAACGTGGTAAACCAAGTGAAGGCGTTTTTTGTCAAGGAACTTGGGAAGTATTTGATCCTGAGATCTTCATTATTGGCTATGTCTCCCGCTTCGGTTAAATATCTCGCTATGTGTTCGACTGTTGACTCGTTGGTATCCCCAGCGAACTTTGTAAATTTAGGGACTTTGTATCCCCTTGGTAAATCAGTATGCATTATACAATCCAATATAGGAGAAGCGTACTTTGGCCTCCTCATTCCTGTATTGAGGCCATTTTGGGCCATGATCCTCTCTATCATGGTGGTTAGGTTATTTTCTGCCAAGATGTTATCGTTTCGAATCCTATGAACGACGGCATCGGCATCTTGATTTCGACCGACAAAAACAACTCCCCTGGGTTGTTCTTCTCGAAGTTCTGGGGCTTCTGGCCTTTCGATCCTTGCCCCTGGTTCCATAACTTCCCTTTGTGGGCCCTGAATTACTGGGGCTTCTAACCTTGGTGCTCTGGCCCCTAAGTTAGCTTCTTCTCTGGGTAGTCTCTGAATTGGGTCGTTAGCAATTCGTTCTATATTTGTTCGAAATCCCGCCTGGTTCTGCCTACGCCTTTCTGTGGGAGCAAAGAAATCTGCTATTCGACTCATATTGTCAGCGTTTTCCCTGTTCGTCACAGTCACATTCTGAACTATTGGGGCAAATATTTCCTGCATGGTTTGCGCTAACACCCCTATCATGTTGTGGTTGCTGTCATCCATCAATTGCCTAAAAGCCAACTGGTTATCTGTGGTTAGGATAGGCAACGTGCTATAACCTCCTGACCCTTGGTTATTTGTCATAAATTGGTTCGCCCCAGACCCAGATCCTAGTTGTGGGGATGAATTCGAAGTGGAATTGTGTAAACCTGCCATAAAAGATGTTGGCATTCCGTAAGAAGAACTTCTAATTCTATTCCCATCGAAGCCGGGTGGTCTAGTTAATGGTGTGGCTAAATGGGATTGTGTTCCTGGTGGTGGAACGAATCCCCCAGGGTAGCCCATAGTTCCAGTATTTCCTAAGATCGAACTGTTAGTTGATATGCCACTTACTCCAGTGGTGGCTATGTTACTGGTTGAAGATGCAACAGACTGTGCATTCGAAGGGATTACATTAGATGTTCCGCTCGAAATGGACGCGTTAGTGCTTGTTGCATGTGGGTCACCTTGGTTTCCTTGTTGATTGTCTGAATTAGACATTTTGTCCAAACGTTTTCTTCTGGATAAAGGTTGGTTGCTGTTGGTTATCTTACCACTTCTTAGGTTCATAAAACAGCAAATTTCTTATGGTTCCTACGTTTTTGGGATGGCTATGTCTCGACAATCCTTAATTCTGATATCCAACTATTGGTCCCACCGGGTGTGCCAATTTGTTTCCAGTGATTTCTGGTAAACAACCGCTAGTCTTCCAAACTATCGAATAATCTTTATTAACGCTACTCAATCTCTCTGGTAACTCACAAGATCGACTAGATTGATCCTAGGACTCCTTGGATATTAAAGTTACTCTCACAATCGAACAATTATTCATGGTTGCTATTGTACAAGTGTTTGGTTTATTTCGATCCTTCTCTCTAAGAGTTTAAAAATGTGGTCAAATTGTACATGAAAACTAAATTATACGAATAAATGCTAATTGTAATGCTGATTGAAGAGACATATAAAACTGTATGAAAAATGAAGTAAATGATTTCGATTTGCAAAACATTTAACATAAAAGGTTTCTGGAATGTAGAAGTTTAAAATGTGAAGAAAGCGTTTAATGCAATTTTAAGTAAAAGGATGCGTTTGAAAAACAATACTTGGAAGTAAAGGTATTGAAAGCGTAACAGTTCTCTGAAATATAAAGTGCTCGAAATATAAAGAAAGCAATAAAGAGTAAAACTTTTGAGGAAAAGACTTTGAAATGAAAAGACGATAAATAAAGAAACTTGTAAATGTTATTCGATAAAAAGAAAAGAGGAAAGTACTGGAAATGGTAAAAAGGCTTTCATTAAGTTAGAAATACATGGTGCTATCATACATACATCTCTCTTGCATTCGTTTCCCTTGCCATGTGGTAGTTTGAATGTTATTGAGTATTTTGTATAACAGATATGACACACTGAAATCCTAATACTAAGACTTCTATTTATACTAATTCGACCCTAACGGTCTCGCTATAGGATCATGCCACGTTTCGAACATGCAAGACAATGCTTCTTCCATCTTTCCACGTGTCCCCAAATGCTCCAACACATAACTTTCAAACTTTGAAAGTCCCGCTTCCATTTAAATTTTAAATGCTTTGGTGTTTCTCCGTTTCGAACGCTCTTCCCAAACCTAGCCTTGCTGTTGTTTCGAGACCCCTTTGGATATTTTCCATGATCACCGTTCGAAGCTTCAAGTTTTGACACACTCATTCGAAACACTGCTTCTGCAACTTCGAAATATGGTGTTCAATTCCATTTCGATCAGAACTTTTAACTCTTTTGAATTCTAGATAACATTATCAAAATCTTCAGCCAACACATGGCTCAAAACATTTCTCAAGATCAGTGGATTGATAGATGAAATTTGGCCAACTGATGAAAAAGTCAAACTTTGACTTTTTGGTCAACATTAAGTTTCAAAGATCAAAATTCATTAAGACATTCAAGAATATCAAGCTTGATCATCAATAAGTCAATAAATTCAAAAGTCAATTTGAAAAGTCAAACTTTTCAAGACTTAAAAGTTTTTCTAAGTGTTTTATACATGTTTATTTCATAACTTCGTGACATTTTTTCACCAAGATGCAAGATGATTCAAAGGAAACTTTCAACATGAAATTTGTAGATCTTGATGAATTATACAACTTTGTATTAGAGGGTTTATATCTAAAAAACGCTTAGATTTGAAGATATAAGCCCATGAAGTCATGACATTTTCATCTAACACTTAGAGAAATTTCCAACAGATTTTGGTCAGGATTTTATCCCAACTTCTTGGCATTTTTTTCACATAGTTCCAAAATGATTTTGTCAAAATGTCCAACATGAAAGTTATATAAGATGTTTCAAGCTTTTCAAAACATCTAAGATCATGAATTTATCATACTTGAGCTAGGATATTCAAGAGCCAGAAGTTGGGCATCCATTCTTGAATTGCAAGACATTTTGTTTAAGAACAAATAATCCAATTTGCATGATGTGCTGCATAATCTTACTTTGAAGGCCTTGTTATCGCCAGTCACGCTTTTAATTAATTCTATAAAAATTATCAAACATAAATTATCCTAGTTAGGCATTCTACATCATTAAAAATAATTTTATATCTTAGTCATCACTGTCACATATGCAAAATTTTATATCTTAGATGATATAATTTCAACGCGTTGACTTAATTAAGATATTGAATGATTGATAAATATAATAGAACTTAGATATATTTAGTGACATATATGAAATGACACTAATAAAAAAATGCCAACTTCTAAAGTTATCTTCGTATCTTCAAGCATTTGTCACGAACTTTTGAGAAACTCTAAAAAAATAATTCATTTAAACATTGACATAAAAATTAAAAAAAGTTATTGAACTTGTTGACATCATATAATAGTAATATGTTTCAAATAGAAATTTGCAACACAACACATGTAAAGTGGGCAAGGAAGTGCAATAGTATCCTCTTGATCATGGATGAATTTGTCTTAATACAAATGGTTTTTTTAAGAGTCCTAACACGAGTGTTTGGCACAAAGGTTTGTTTTGTGGTAAAGATGGTCATTAGATTTATGGTTTCTCTAAATCACTTATGTAAATTATTAAAAGGTTTAACTATGACTAAAAGAATGTGGTACAATAAATTGGAAGTGCACATGAATTCATATATTATTGCGAGTATGATTAATAAGCATAATAATAGTAATGTCTCTGGACGGAGACTTGTTAAGAAGATTCAAAGTCTCCTGAGTCTGAATTTGAGTATTAAGATTCATCATATTTATCAAGAAGCAAAACAAGTGCACTGATATGCTAGCCAATATAAGATGTATGCATAATCACGAGACATTGGTTTATCACCAATCACCCACCGCTTTGATACAAGTTCTAGATAATGATATAAATGACGTCTCATTTCTCCCGCGTGTAATATTGTAGTTTTTTCTTTTAAACTTTAGCCCTTTTATTTATTAAAATAAAATAAAATAATTACTTGATTCGAACTTGAAATTTCACATAAAATATAATGATTAGATAAACTAAAACAAAAGATTAAAACTTTCTTTATGATTATATAGTTAAAAACACATTTCTTATGAAAAATTAGATTTGAGTACATTTATGAAGAAATATTGATAAACATTCATGCATATATGCATATTTTTAATGAGAGTGAATTTTATTGTTTTTTTAAAATTTAAAATTGAAATGATTTCATGAATCAAAAAGTTAACGAGACACGTTGATTTAGTGAAAACATTACTTAGTAAAGGTGTTACATAAGGAAAAAGATATTTAGTGAAAACATGGAATTCCTAATAATAAATGGAGATATTGATGCGTTAGCACAATGAACGTCTTGAAATGTTTATAGTAAAATGAAAATTTAAATAAATTCAATGACACTAATCGATAAAGGTCGATCGTTAGACTTAACTTCGTATCTAGAAACATTTGTCTCGAACTTTCAATAAACCCTTGAAGATAAATCATTTTTCAACTATTCACATAAAAATAAATAAGTTGAAAAAAAAGAAGAAGCACTTTCTTAACTCTCTCTTTGATCCAAACAGGGAACATCACTCTCTCTTTCTCTCTCATTTCAGAACTCTCTCTCTCCACCCACACTCTTCCACCCACTCACATTCAGGTATCCGTACCCTCTGTGAGTGCCACGGTTGCTACACCGTCCTCTCACAAAATCACACCACAAACAAACTGTATCAGCAAAATGTCAAAAAAACTCTGAATTAGATCCTTGCTTCCACACGTTTCAACTCACAACCCCTTTGATTAGGTAGCTGAAAACCCATTTTTTCCTACCCTTTTTATGCATGCAGGATCGATAAAATTTCAATCTTTGATATTTGTTTGCTGTGTTTTGTGTTTTAGGTTTAAAGGGGTTGTGCTGTTTCGGTTAAAAGTGAAACCTTTCAGCTGTTTCTGAACTTGGGTTGCTCTACAATGAGGGTTTAGGATTGAATTTGGTTTTTGGGATTGTGATTTTTGTTTTGGGTCAAATGGGTAGCTCTGGAGAATCGAATATCAATGGAATAAATGCTTCTGTTGGTGGGTTGGTTTGGGTCCGACGCAGAAATGGGTCATGGTGGCCTGGTCGGATAATGAGTCTTGATGAATTGTCTGAGGGTTGTTTGGTTTCTCCGAGATCGGGTACTCCGGTTAAGCTGTTGGGTCGTGATGATGCTAGTGTGTAAGTGTTTCTTCTTGTTCTTCAATTTTGATGTTTTTTGCTTTTTTTTTTTTTTGGTTGATAGTTTACAAGTTTTACCCTTAAGATTGTTGATTTTGATGTTGAGGGTGTGTTTGAGAGCTAAGAAGGATTTAGGGTGGAAAAGAGGGGAATCCCTCACTTTGTTTTGATTCAAAACCCCCTGATTTGGAGGATTGAGAAGTAGTTATGGTGAGGGGTTTTGGAGGGTTTTTGTAGAAAATCTACAAACTTAGAGCTTGCCATAACCCTCCCTTTTTAAACCCTTCCCAAACAAAACTTAGTGTTTGACTATTTGGTAGGTTTGGTGTGAAGCACTGTTGTTGATGGCAGGTGACAAAATATGGTGGAAGGGCAAGACTTGGCCATTTAAAAACGCCATTGCTGCCTACTGCGCTACCATGGAGGGTAAGGTATCCCTTGACCAATTGCCTAGGGCGGTTGTCACAAAATCTGCCATGCTATTTCGCCATGGCCGCCCTTTAATTACCGTGGTTTGAAGAGAGGATGAGTGGGCGATGGGAGGGGTTGATTTTGGCATGATAGGAGGCTTATGCTTTAATAATTTGTGATTTGTGTGATGCTTCTCTAGCTATCCTTTCTTCTAATTTTCATATCTGCCAAATGCGCCCTTAATTGAATTCTGCTGTAGATATATGATGCTGGGTTGATTATCCCAAAGTCTTACAATGTTTCCGACTTGATCACTAGCAGTGTTGTCAATGGCGGATGGCGGTCCATGGCAGGGAGCCATAATCCCGCTATACCAGCCGCTTTGCGGTGCCGTTTTAGCGGATTATGGTGCAAAAACCTGCAATATTGGCCAATATTTACCACTGCAGCAAGCCGAAAAACCACCATGTATATCCGCCATAGTGCTGCCATGGTGGATATTCAATAATGCTGATCACTAGAGTTTTAGCTATTTAGTTTCTTGTGTGTGTGTTGTGAGGGGGTTGGGTGTGGGTGGTGGTGGCAGTGGCTGGGGGGAGTTCCCGATTAAAACCCTCTTTGACACCATGCAATGGATTGTTATATTTGAAACAAGCTTTTCAATAACCTTAATAAGAGTTGGTTATGATGTACCAATATTGTGAAACCTTTTTTTCAAAATGATTTTACAATTTACACATGATTTGGTGTTTCTGGTTATATCATTGAAGCTACTATGGGAAGGAATTTTTTTAATCTTAAACATGATTCCTACATCTTCGACAGAGGGGATGTCCTTGTTTCGTGTTTTCTGATATATGCAGCCATTGAGCACTGCTCTTAATTTGAAATATATAGGTATATCTATTTTAAACTGTACAACCTATTGAAATTGGAAGATGAATTAAATATGGCCTTATTTGTTTTGATGTGAAGCTTAAGAGTGCCTTGAACTAATTTATGTTTCTCCGAAAATATGATTGAGACTTTTTCTTTTTAATGCTGTCAGTTGTTTGATATGAGCCATTGATGTGGAGAATTGTGTTGAGGTTATTTGGTATCATTGCAAGCATGCCAGAGTCACTGCTCTGCTTGAGCCTTGTATGAATGCTCTTTTTTCCCTGATACAGTGATACTGTTTGTAGCAAAAGATCAGTTTGCAATCTTTAGATGAGCGAAACTTATGAAACTGCTTGTAATATACTACTTTAGATACTGGTTTAACTTCAGTGTCATGTGACATTGATTAAGAAATCTCTCTGTAATGTTTTGTTTTAGTTCTTATTTGTTCATGCTTACTTTACATTCGATCAAGTTTCTGTTTATCTTGATTCTTGAATTTGTTTGCTGTTTGAAGTGTGAAGCTGATTTATGTCTGCATAAGTTTGATTTTGGAAAAACTCCGTGCAGGGATTGGTATAATCTTGAAAAATCGAAGCGAGTAAAAGCGTTTCGTTGTGGAGAGTACGATGAATGCATTGAGAAGGCAAAGGCGTCTGCTGCTGGTTTAGGCAGGAAGGCAGTGAAGTATGCTCGCAGAGAAGATGCTATTCTTCATGCCCTTGAGCTAGAGAGTGCTCACCTGGATAAGGTACCTTTACCTTTATGCTCTGGATCAGATAAATCTGGTAGTGAACATGGTGAATCAGCTGGAGAATTACCCGCGATGTCTAATTCTGGCAATGTCAATGAAGACATGATTGATGATTTGAGCGACTCTGAAGACAATTCTAATTCAGCTCCAGAATTGTCACAATCTGGTATATCTTTTGAAGAACCTAATCATAATGGTTCTTTAAAGATTCAATCTATGCAGGGAAGGAGGAGAAGAACACCTAATGATTCAGAAGACGATGGAACTGAAGGAGTGAAGCGAATGAGAGGGCTCGAGGATCTTGGCATTGGCGTAGTGTCAAAGAGAAAGGTCCAGGGTTCAGGTCCAACTGATATAGCTCAGCATGTCAGTGCTTCCCTTAACAATTCAATCACAGGGAACGGCCTGGCCAATGGAACTTCTGTAAATGGTGGTAAGGGTTATTCTTCTCTGAAAAGGAAGAGATCACAAGTTTCAAATGTTCACGAAATCTTGAGAAGAAAAAATCGACGCCGGCCTTTGACTAAGGTTTTAGAGAGTACTGCCATGGTATCAGTTCCTGTTACCTGTGAACAGCTTCCCAGTTCAAGCAATTCTCCGCTATATGGGATAACTAACGGAAAGGTTTCAGGATTTGATACTACCCATTCAATGAAAAGTTCTGCAATGGAAATTCTCAATTCAGATAGTGCTGCTGAGGCTGCTTGTGAGAATGGGACTTCATTAATTGTTCATGACCATGGTGGTGATTTTTCCCAAGCCGATCTCAAGGAAAAGGAGAATGAGACTTCTGAAATACCAGCGCTAGCTGGCAATGATTCTTCTGATGTTTTATTTGATGTGCCATTTGTCAGGGCTCTAGAGGAGGAGAAACCAACTCCAGGTACACTAGAACGTCATTTCTTTACTGTCTTCAACTCTTCTATATCTGAAATGTTTCATAGTTTATTTTCACTTCGTGCTCTAAACGTGTAGTATGTAGTAAATATACAACGGTAATTGTATGTATGAAAGTTTTCCTTTCCCGAGGTTTGCATATCAATGAAACTCTTTTGCCGATTTCTAAAGCCGTAGAATAGAGTTTGATTATATTTCTTCTGTGCTGCATCAGTTTAGATATACCTATGCTATGCTGGATAATTACCTTACATTATTGTTGTAATTTCTTGTTTTAGGTTTGTCACCCACACTTGTTTCTTGTTCATACGACATACCTGAAGTTAATGCATTGGAGAAGCAATCTTGTCAAGCTGGCGAATCTGAAACTTTTCCATTGAGAAACGGTTGCAAGAATGAATCTGGTTCTACGAGTTCAGCTGCTGGTCACGACATCGTTGTCGATAGAGCAGACAAAGATAGTTCAAAGTGGCAGTCTAAAGGAAAGAGGAACTTAAGACATACAAGACAAAACAGAAAACAAGTCTCTAGAAATTATGCGGGCATGGATGGCGAATCCGGTGCTTATTTAACAGGAACAGGGAACTCAGATGGATTCTGTCAAGGTGCCGGTCAGAAACAGAAAGTTAATTGGAACGGCACAGGTGTATCCAATGCCTCATACAATTGTAATTCTCAAATCAAGTGCAAGCCTATTGCTGAAGGTGAAGCAGAAGGGCTTCGGGACTTGAGCAAGCATATCAGGGCTACAGCAGCAGAAGCAAAGGAGTTGCCAAATGGATCTCTTGCACCTCAGAGATCACTTCCTTATCGCCAGTCACGCTTTACTGTTAACTCGAGATATGAAATGTCTGATTTTCCTGGAAAAAGCTGCACTTCGGATGGGACATTATATGACGTTAAACTAGAAGTTAAATCCAGCTACCGGCCGCAACATGTTCCTTTGGTTTCCCTTGTGAGTAAAGTGAATAATAAAGCCTTTATTGGACACCCTTTGACAGTTGAGGTATTGGAAGAAGGTCATTGTGATAAAATGTTGAGCGGCATCGGAGACATTGGAGGTGACGAGGAAGTTGGTGATATCTATTGTGCGGAGAAGCCAAAGCCAGTAACCAGAAGAAAACCTTCCAAGAAATCGTCGCGTTTTTCACGTAGGAAATCTTCAAAGTCAAAAAAATCCGGGCTGTTGAATAAAAAAATAAGGAAGCTGTCTTCATTGACCGGTCACAGACAGTCAGAAGAAGAGAGAAAACCGGTCGTCGATAAGCTCAAGGGTCCTGTGATAGCATGTATTCCTCTTACAGTAGTATTCAGTCGGATACACGAGGCATTGAACGGCCAGGCACGGTCGTCACACCGTGTAGTATCAACAACGAACCCATGAAATAAAGTTATTGGGGATGGTGCAGAAAATCGTTCCTTCGGTATTTTAATTTTTAAAACTTTATCCAGAGTTTGCATTGCAGCATCACTCACATTCTGCCATGAAGGTTTGGGAATCTTGTGTACAATTTTCAAGACATTTTTATGTAGAAGCTGTAGGAGTTTCATTCACATGAATGAGCCATTCAGTTGGCTCTGTAAATAATGTAACATTGGAAGAGAGGTGGTTATTATTAGGTATTTAACCTGATATTGGGTTTGTTTGGGACAGTAGTTTTAGATATTGTACTCTCCATTCCAAAGGCTAAAACAAAATTGTAATTGTGAGTGGGTCACCATTTCAGTTTTGTATTGTATGGAACCTTGTCATGTCATAGATACATATACAGATTGTCAAGAATATTATCATTTTCTTTTCTTTTGTTTGATATGTTTTCTATGTTTTAAGTTAACTTAACAGTTGTAAGCTTCTTTTTATTTATTTATTATCAAACATGATTTATTTAGTAGGGTACTTGAGATTTAGAATCTGAAACAAGGGGAGTGACATTGAATTTGGAGTCTGAAATTATATTCAGAGAGATCCCAATAGCTTATTCTTTTGGGAAATTTCAATCTCATTAAATTATTATGTCTTTAAAGGTTTTTATTTTATTTTTATCTTATAAAATTTCTTTAATATGACACAAAGGACCTTTATTTAGTGGGATACATTGATAATACTAGGGAGGTTGATAGATGGATTATTCACATAACCAATCTATATTCAATTTATAATCATTTATTATAATTGAATATCATAACTAATTCATATAAATAATTATATTTATATATAATCGGTTTATAACCGATTTATCCATAATTAAATGTTGTAATCAATTATAGATTTTATAATCGGTTTTAAAATTTATAACCATTTTTTAATTTAAAACCAGTTTCAAACATACAAATAAAATTTTAAATTTAGATATTTTTTTTTACAATTAATTTTAAATTAGATTTTTTTTGGAAAAAAATTGGTTTTTCCGTATTATTGTGAAAATTTGATTTTTTTTTCTCAGTATTTTTGTAAAAAAGTTGATTTTTTATAATTTTGAAAAAAAATCTGATTTTTTGTATTTTTGAAAAAATTTGATTTTTCATAATTTCAAAAAAAAATCATTTTTTTTTATTTAAAAAAAAAAACTTGAGTTTTCATAATTTTAAATAAACTCGATTTATTTGTATATTATAAAAAAAAATTGATTTTTCATAATTTTGAAAAACCAAGATTTTTTATATTTTTGAAAAAACTTGATTTTTTGTATTTTCATAAAAACAATTGATTATTCATAATTTCAAAAAAAAATCCGATTTTTCATATTTTTGAAAAAACTCAATTTTTTGCGTTTTCGAAAAAATATTTTTTTTCCTAATATCGAAAGAACTCAATTTTTTGTATTAAAAAAATTGATTTTTCATAATTTCAAAAAAAACTTTTTTTTGTATTTTCGAAAAAATTCAATTTTTTGAAAAAAAATGATTTTTTATAATTTCGAAAAATTTGATTTTTCATATTTTTGAAAAAACTCGATTATTTGTATTTTCTAAAAAAAAGCCATTTTTCATAATTTTGAATAAACTTGATTGTTTATATTTTCGAAAAAAAATTCAATTTTTTGTATTTTCGAAAAAAAATTCAATTTTTCATAATTCGAAAAATCTCGATATTTGGTATTTTCAAAAGGGAAAAATTAGTTTTTTTTCATAATTTCGAAAAAAACTCGATTTTTCATATTTATGAAAAAAGTCTAATTTTTATATTTTCGAGAAAAACTCGATTTTTCATATTTCTGAAAAAACTCGATTTTTTCAATTTAAAAAAAATCAAATTTTCATAATATAAAAATACTCGATTTTTTATAGCACACTTGTTTTTTTGAAATTTTTTTCAAAAAATATTAATTTAATTTTTATTTTAGATATGAATGTTCAAAATATGAATTCAGTTAAAATCATATTAATAAATATGAATTTGATTAAAACAATATTAATAACTAACCGACTTATGATAATCAAATTTAAATATAAATATAAATAATTTATATATCCGATTAATTTGAAAGTCTCTAAATAATACAAGCAAGATACCAAAGACCACTTTAGTGGTGAATATTATAAGTTACTTATTGCGCTGTTACTTTTAATAAAGTAAGCACTTTTAAAGCACACACACTAAATCAAGACATAAGGTATGAATGATTATGATTTTTTTCCATCTTCTAAGGTCTGATTGGTTGTAACTTGTAAGGAGAAAGGAAGAAGAGATAAATTGGTAAGAGAAGGAAGAAATAGGTAAAAATTAAAGAAAATTTAAAGTGTTGCTTATTACTTCATCTAGTTTTATTTATTAAAAAGAAAAGAAATATTTGTTAGTTACATTAATAACTAATGCACTTAAACAATAGATCAAATACATTGTTTCTAATAAATTTAATTTTTTTTTTATAAATAAAATTTATATTAAACAAAATAAAGGAGAAAGAAGAATATATGATATAAAAAATTCAGTATAATATCGGGCTTGAGATCAATTGTTATAAAAAAACAATAAGGATTAATGTGACATTTGTTTTTTTATTTTATTAAACTACTGAGATACTCGTGTGTTCACACGGATATTAATGTGGTATATACTTTTTATTTTAAAAATATAATAAAATAATAAGAAATATAAAATGAAATAAAAAATAAAATTATTTAATCAAAATAATTTATTATTTTTAAAAGAGATGGCAACTCGGTTTCTATATTTTCTTCGGTGTATAAAAATATTTTAATAAATAATATAATTATTTTTATATATAAATATTTTTGTTTTGAAATTATTTATAAAAATAATTAAAGCGATAGTAAACTTGTTATCATTATAATTTAATATTTAAATTAATAATTTAATATCAGTATAATATGCGCCTACAATATCATTACCCGTGTGTGTGTATGGGTACTGAAGTGGTATACATGTTTTTGTTTTCTAAATGTAATAAAAATATAAAAAAGAAAAACAAAATTATTTTACTAAAATAATCTATTATTTTAAAAAGAAATACATAATTTAAAAATAAAAACAAAATAGTTTTACCAAAATTATTTTATATATTTCAATTTTCATATATTATTTTTTTAAAATGTGTATCTTAAATTAAAAATAATTTTAAAATAAAAATAATTTAATACATAAATAATTAAAAAACAATAATTTTTTCTCGTGTTTGGATTAATATTTTATTTTTATTTTTTATTTTTTGTAATTGTACAAAAAAATGTAATAACATATATATTTGCACGAATTTTAGTATGATTATTCGTGCGTTCATACGATATTGATGTGGTACTTATATATTTGTTTTCAATGATATAATAATAAAAAATAAAAAAAACAAAATTATCTCCTCAAAATAGTTAATTATTTTTAAAAGATATAAAGAACATGAAATTTACTTTATGCTAAAAATAGTTAATTATTTTTAAAAGATATAAAGAACATGAAATTTACTTTATGCTACAATATGAATGAACATTGAAAATTTTCTATTTTTTATTTCTTCATAATTCGAATTTTTTTGCAATAATTAAGTATTAAAAAAATACATCAATAACCATGTTTCAGAAAATTTCACAATAGAGGAGTCAAGTGAGATTGCGCATGCACTCACTTTTTTGTCCTATGCGCTATCTCACTTGGCGCATGCACTTTGTTTTAGCCAAGTGAAATGGCGCATGCAGTATAAAAAGGAGAGGAGGCGCCATCTGAGATGGCTACTACGTGCAATTGTGTTTTCTATAAATAAATCACTCATTTCTCCATCATTCTTCACACTTTCTCACATTGTCTTCTTATTTTTTCTCTGTTATTTGCGTCATGACATCTCCCATGGTTTTCACCAGAGATAAATACGTTATTTTCTCGACCACCAAACCTCCGATGAAAATGAAATTTTGGTACATTCACTCCATGGAGCGTCTGAAGAGAGAGTTGACGCGATGGCTAGAGGGAGACATCGAAGCTGGGGAACAAATTAGAAGGATCCAGAGAAGAAGAACAACCACCTCACTTGCAACTGGAAGACCTAATTTTTGGTTGGAGGAAGTCAAAATAGACAGAGACGTAATGGTGATGATGCACGACTCAGATGAAATTGTTTTGACGGTTGTAATTTCTTAGACGTTTTATCGTGTTTTTATTTGTTGTTTGCGTATGGTTTGTTGTAACAAATGCTTTTAATGAAAAGCAATAATGTTTAGAACTTAAAAAAGTGCAGATGGTTTGCATACAATTTTTATGTTGTCGAGCTTGTAGCCCGAGTGGGACAATTTCTTCGATTGTGTTCGACCTGACGACATAAACCACACTTTCTTTCTAGCTTGTCAAGGGAGTCCATTTCAGTTGTGATACACTTGCTTTTGGGACGACCCTTTTTATTCCTTCGCATTTGATTGTTGTGCCATACTATTTCCCCCTTGTATGCAAACCAATTATTAGGTTTCGCTATCATTGGGAAGCTATTGTTGTATACGTCGAGCAAGGTTTCAGACTTATAAATGGGAGATAGAAGTTGTAATGCGTCTTGATGAGTATACGCACATGCCACAATGACATGAGAGCAAGGCATACGAAAGACTTGAAACTTGTCACAATCGCACCAACGATATGGTAGTATAACCCTATACTCTTGTCTTGACATCCCCTTATTGTGGTCGATTGTCTCTTTGACAATGAAGTTGTGGTTGTGTCGGTCGAACCTTATAACCAGATGGGTGTTGGCTTTGGCACTTTCTGCCTTAATATACTTCATGCAACTTTCACTCCATAGTTGTCCCGATTGTAAGACCGCATTTCACATTTCACCTCTTTTGGCAAACAACGAAGTCATCCTAAAATATGGTGATTTGACCAAAGCGGTTATTGGGAGGTTTCATATGCCTTTGAATACACCGTTCATGGATTCAATATGATTT